GCAGTTTTCTTGGCAAGGTTTTTCAGAAGTGGTTTGCCATTGCCTGCTTCCTAGGGCTGAGGGAGAGGGACTGGCCCAAGGTCACCCTGCGGGCTTCGTGCCTAAGGCAGGACTAGAACTCGTGGTCTCCTAAGTTTCTAGCCCAGGGCCTTTAACTTCTGCTCTGGCTCTCACGCTAGCATTAATTATACCTTCCTGAAGTCTGTGTAGTTCTGTTTCCTTGATCTTGCCCACCACTTCTGTATTTTTACCAAGAAAACCACATGGATAGAAAATAGAAAATTATATAATACACTCACTAAAATGGATTTGCCAAAAATAACTAAACAGAGTTAAAAACTATTCAGGCTTAGAATCTTTGAATGTGGGGCTGTGCCTTTATCTGAAGTGGTTGTGTATGTGAGAGAAAGAGAAAGCATGCTGGCTGGGGAATTATGGGAGTTGAGTCCACCCATCTTAAAGTTGCCAAGATTGAGAATCTCTGGCCTAGATCATGAATGTAACAATCTACAATAGAAGTAAAACAGTTGAGAGTTAAAGGTAAAGGGCTGAACTGGAGTGACAGCCACTCCAGAACTACACGTAAGCCATCTGACAATTCTGTTAAGTATTGCTAAAATGCTTAAACATTAATGTATAATTATAGACTGTGGTAATGGATCCTTCAAAGAACAGTATAAGACAAAAGGTAGCAAAAATGAACAGTGGGATATAAAAAACAAAGAGGAACTTTGTACTGTACTACACACTTGCCTTCCCCAACCTGTGACTCTCCAGATATTAGATGACAATGCCTCTGTTTGCCAACCTGCTTGTTAAAGATTGTGGGAACACAACACATCCGATTTAAAGTGTTGTGCTTGGCTGTGAGGCATGGAAATTCTAAGGGTACGTAACAACTTTTGTTCTTCTAGATTAAAAAAGCAAGTCAAGCCTTGCTTGCATATATTGCGGACAAACAGAAATCTGGAGATAAAGTGCTGTTGGACGTAGACCAGAATGTCTTTTTGATGGTTACCGTCTGGAAGATCCCACCGGAAGAGCAAGTGATCAAAATGTAAGGGTATCTCTGTATTTTAATTCTGCGTTTCCACCACAGTGAAATGCTTTTCATGATCTGTCAGGCTAAGAAGATTAGAAACTAAGATTCAGCAAGAAATAAACCCAATTCAAAAGTAGTGTACTTATACGTAGGGCAAAGGTAGGCAATAATTTGCATCTTCTAGAGGTGCCACAACTGCTGCCTTGTTGAAGCCTGCTGTATGTTTGGTGTTCTAGAAACCTGCCTCACAGCATTCTGCCAGCCACCTCTGAGGTTTGCCTCTTCACCAAAGATGAACCTGGCTTAACAGCGGAACAGACCGAGAACTTGTACAGGAAGCTGTTGGTCCAACATGGAATCACATGTATCACTGAGGTATGAAGCTTTGAGGAATGTCTGCTGTCTCTACTTTGGAGGAGGAGCAAAACACTGGCCTGCCCCAAAGATTGTGCTCACCCCAGTTTCTTTAAACACATAGTTGTGGCTTGCTGAATCAACCACCACTGTACTGGTTCACATATGTGGAACCATCATGTGATTTCAGACAAATCAAACCAAGTTTTAGCTTGTCTTGTAGTGCAAAGGCAGCATTTTCTCCTCCATCTTGACAGCTCTTATCTTTTTTAGAAGGAATGCCATGATTTTGATTCATGCGGTGTCAGTTCTCTCTTCTGGCTGTATTTCAGGGAGTAGAATCTTAGCTAATAATTGCTTCTCAGGCAACAATTTATTGATTGTCAGTACCTCCTTTGATTTGACCTTGAACAGCTTTGTACAAGCTGGAACAGTGATAGGAAAGCAGAAAAGTCCAGATCCAGAAACAGAACCACCCTCAACATTTTGGACCGGGGCTCTGTTTTAAAACTAGGAATTGTTGTTGAGTTTTGGCATCAGATGTCTAGGATTGTCACTGGCTTTTTTCTTTCAGAAGGATTCAAACGGGTTCGGAGAAGGGCAACATGATGTTCAGGAACTAGAAATCAAGTCTGACAAGGAAAGGTTTAGGGAAGGGGTTTAGTCTTGAAGAAAAAACTAGGGGTGGGCATGATAGCACTCTTCAGATATCTGAAGGCCGTAAATCTGCTCTGTATTAGCCCAAAGAACAGGACATGCAATGACTGATTTAAATTACAGGAAGACAAATTCTCTTTTGAATGTAATGAAAAATGTAACAGCAAAAGCGATTGGAATGATTTAGGGAGGTGGTGGACTGTGCTGGATGCATTCAGTCAGAGATGTGATCGTAATCTGCCTAGAATGGTTTTTTTAATAATTTTTATTAAAGATTTTTCTCTAATATGAAAGATAATATAAAGTAAAACTAAAGAAAGAAAAAAGAAAAAGTAAAGTGAACAAGTAAGAAAAGTAGAAGAAAGAAAGAGCAAATAGAAACAGAAAAAAAGAGTCCAAAAAAGAGTATTTTAAATTCAGTACAACACGGAGTCTGTTGGCTGTAACACCATGTTGTCCTGAAATGGATATCCAGGTTATGGTGTTGGGTGTGGAATATTTCTCTCTCCCCTCATATCTGTTTCAACATGACCCATTAATTCACTTGTGGACTCTTCTTGAGACAAGAAGGAGGAGCACCAAATCATTGTACGCAGATTAGTTACCTCTTAGGTCTGGTTAAACACTCCATGACCTTCACTGTTTTAATATGGATTCCTGCCCTGAGCAAGGAGGTTGGATTCAATGCCAGCCCTCCTTAAAGCTGACTGGGTGCCTCTTCCTACAAACACTCTGTCTCTCAAAAAAATATATGCTGTGGAACCAGGAAGCAGTAGGAGCAGTGGCTGTCAGTGGTCTGTCCCCTTCTGTTTTCTGCAGGTCATCTCTTACAAAACGTTCAAAACGGAATACAAGCCCTTTGAAGCAAAGCGACGTCTCCTGAGCCGGTTTGCTCTTTTCTTGTCTGATGACCGTATTAGAAGATTACTCCCTTCACACATGGGAAAGCATTTCTATCTGCGTAAAAAGTAAACCTTATTTATGTTCCTTTGCCCCATTTTCCTTTCAGATGGCCTCCGGGCCTTTAGAAGTGTTGGGTCACAGTCCCCATCATCCCTCCACTGGGATAGTTCTGATCTGGCCCATCGTGAAGCCCCTGAGTTGGAAGTAGCTGAAATCTCACTCCCCACCTTCTCTCTCCAATATCAGGGCCCCTCAGTGTGTGAACTTGAAAGCCAAGGACCTAGCTAAAGAAATCAACAAACGCATCCAAGGAACAATCCTTCCAGTCACTAACAAGGGCAGTTGCTAGTAAGTAGTTTGATTTTACATGTTACAGTTGGGATATTTATTCCCTGTACAGGTGGTCCTTGACTTATGACCACAATTGGTCATAAGAACTTCTGTTGCTAAGCGATGTGGTCATTAAGTGAGTTGCACCCGATTTTACAACTTTTGCTATGGTTGTTAAGTGAATCCAACTTCCCCCATTGGTTTTGCTTATCAGAAGCCCCCTGGGAAGGTCGCCAATGGTGATCACATGACCCCGGGACACTACAACTGTCATAAACACATGCCAGTTGCCAAGCGCCTGAATTTTGATCACGTGTCTACAGGGACACTGCAATGATCATAAGTGCAAGGACCGATCATCATTTTTTCAGTGCTGTCGTAACTTCGAACAGTCATTAACTAATGGTCGTAAGTCAAGGACTGTCTGTATTAATAGGGCCACCAATCTAGTCCAGGTGCTCTGAGCAGTTTAGCATGGAATGGTAGTCAAGCCAACAGGCTACCAAAAACCATGTGATGAAACGACTGGGAAATGTCCGATGGTGATGGTGATGGTGATGTTAAGCTTTTTGTCAAGGGTGGGCAATTTGTAGGCCATCCATAGCACACACACTCCAAGCCCCTTCTTTGTGATTCAAAGATGATGCTACTGTAATCAAACAGGAAGAATTTCTGGATTGTGGGAAGTTAGGCAGTGGAAAGATGGTTGCTTAGCTGGAGGTGCTGCCATTGCTGTTTTCTTTCTTTCAGTATGGTTCGTGTCGGTCACACTGGCATGGAAGCATCAGAGATCACTGAAAATGTCATGGCAGTTGCCACAGCCGTAGCTATCAAGGCTCCTCAGGTAACGCTGCTGGTGAACCGGCATAGTCCAGGCAGACTCTCTACCTGCTTCCTTGGGGGTGTACGTATGTGCCACGTCTGGCAGTTTGGGGATGAAATGTTCTGTGGAGGTCTGGAGCTGCTCCTGCTCCAGACCAAACCAAACTTCCTCCAGACCACACTGTTGGAGCACCACCGGATTGGGAGGAAACTCCATCCACCTTCTTAGTGGGGCTCACCCTTTAGGAAATATACCCAGGCTTCCGTTTCAAAGCGATTTGATGTGACTTTGAGGGGGGGGCTCTTTTGTTTGCTCGGCTTACATCACTACAGATGTTTCTTTCATCCTCCTCACTTTGCTACAGATCTGGAAAAGCGTTAAACTTCTTCACCTCAAAACAGCCAAATCGGTTGCGCTTCCTGTCTTTAACTCAGCTCCCCATGGTGATGCTGGTGTTCAGAAAAAAACAGGTGCTGAAAAACAGGTGAGATTCTGAGTGGGTATACTCAGCAGAGCCAAACGGGCTAGTTATTTAACCATTGCTGGGCTGGTGTGATGGAATGGAATTATGAAGGCCAGACTCAGGGAGGAAAACGTGCTCTTTCGTCTCCTGAGGGGCGAGGAAGAGATAAGAGGAGGAGGCTGGCACCTCCCTGAGGAATTCACTCTGTTTTGACTGGCTGACTTTGGGAA